TGTGTGTGTGTGTGTGTGTGTGTTGTTAAGCAGAAGACTGAGATGGTTCCATCAGGATGCAAGAGGCCGCACAAAGGTTCTTGGAGTTTTGGTCGAGGTGGGATGATGATGAACACTAGGAGGACTGGGGCCATAAAAAGAGCCTTGGACATGAAATCACGGTTGATGGTATCTATCACTCATATTTTTTCTGTTTTTAAATACCCCTTAAATAACCCTTCAGTATCGATCACTGTGAAGTGATTCAGCTCTTGATCCTCACTCTCATTGGGTTTGCCTGTTTTTTTCTGGCCTCTCCTCACCTCAGATGCTGCAGTACCCGCTGCACACCATCATGGATGTGAAGGAGAACCTGGTGGACTGGGCGTCGCGGGCCGGCGTCCAGTGGCTGAGCACCGTCATCCCCACGCAGCACGTCAACGCCCTCATTTTCTTCTTCATCATCAGCAACCTGACAGTCGACCTGTTTGCTTTCGTCATCCCTCTGCTCGTCTTCTACCTCTCCTTCATCTCCATGATCATCTGCACGCTGCGTGTTTTTCAGAGCAGCAAGGTCAGTGTGATTGCCAATTTAGTTCTTTCTCAAAGGTGGAAGTCAATTTTCTCTTTCACTGATGGATTAAGCATTTGTTTTTCACTTTAAATTTGAAAATTTGCCATTGTAAATTTTAAAATGGCTGATATATCGGAATGTTTTTTGAATCCCCTAATATTAAGATGAGATTCGACCCCTAATAATCCATACATTCAGGCTTGAGTCGTACATTTCCCATTAAATCTGACCTGCTGGAATAACATTCAGTGCAGAGAACAATGTAGATGTTAAAATGATGACCTATACTATGATTTACAGTAGTTTAAGTTTAAGTAGATTTAAGTTACTCTTTTCATTCCCCTTGTTTTCCAGACTTGGGAGAACTTCAGAGCGCTGACATCTTTACTGACGCGTTTTGAACCGGGGCTGGATGTGGAGCAGGCAGAGACCAACTTCGGCTGGAACAACCTGGAGCCTTATCTCTATTTTATCATCTCTGTCTTCTTTGTCATCTTCTCCTTTCCTGTAGCTGACAAAGGCTGGATCCCCTGTTCTGAGCTCTCCACTGTGGCCATCTTCTTCACCGCCATCAGCTACAAGAGCCTCAGCCCCACTGCTGCCATGTACGCACGCCGAGCGATGGTCATAGAGGTCAGGGGGCCACACAACAATCAGCAATCTCAGCTATGCATGTACTGTATATTTTACATTTTTCCTTCACAACTGCAGTTTTCCAAAGTTTGAAGCTTGATTCCAGGGATAACATTGATATCAGCCCTGTTTTAAAAATCTGATTTCATTACAACAATATTCTTAAGTGTGTTAACTTTCATTATTCCCTGGAAAATCTGTGCATGTGTTAAAACAAGGCCATCTCGCAATGTTACAGAAAGACAAAAATGGCCAAAAACATGCAAAAGTATGTTCTTTTAATGGATTTTTTTCATGACTCAAATTTGAAAAAATGTTTTTTCAATCCAGGTAGCATCATCTCTGTGTTGCTTGACCCAGTTCCTGCCAGAGAACACGGTGCTACGGTTTCTGGGACACACCTTCGCCACTCTGCCACTAGGGGAATCGGTGGTGCTGAAGCTCAGTCTCCCCTGCCTGCTCTACGTTTACCTGTTCTACCTGTTCTTCAGGTGAGAGGATTCAAATCCACCCCAGCATATTGGTGACATCAAATCAATTTCCTCTTCTTTCTGTCTGTTTCCGCCTGCAGCATGGCAAGGATGCGTGGTTTCCGGGGGACGTACTGCTTCTTGGTTCCTTACCTTGTGTGCTTCATGTGGTGTGAGTTCTCCGTGGTTCTCCTCCAGAGTTCCTCCGCTGTGGGTCTGATCCGCACCTGCGTGGCCTACTTCCTCTTCCTGTTCGCGCTGCCTGTTCTGGCGTTTGGCCTCGCCATCATGATCCTCATCCAGCTCTTCAAGTGGTTCCTGGAGCTGGAACTGACGAAGATGATCGTGACCCTGGTCGTATGTGCGATCCCTGTCGCCCTGCGACTCTGGACACGATTCAGCATGTCCATTTTGGACGTGTTCCGTTCACTAACCCAGCGTGGCCCAGTCAAGCTCATCTTACTCTGTATCTCCATGGTGATCCTGTTCTTCTCCATCTATGTGTACCATGCAGAGGGACAGAAGGTGTATAACTCCACGATGACTTGGAACCAGTACAGCCAAGTGTGCGGGCCCCCTGCCTGGGAAACCAAAGGCATGGCCCAGACGCAGATCTTCTGTAGCCACCTTCATGGACACAGGATCACGTGGGCTGGACGTTTCAAGCACGTCCGCGTGGCAGAGACAGAGAATGGGGCACAGTCTGTCATAAACATGTTGCCGGTGTTCATGGGAGACTGGCTGCGCTGCCTTTACGGAGAGACGTATCCAAAATGTGATCCAAAGAACGCTACGGTCGCAAACCTAACAGCTTCAGCCGTTTCCGGATCTGCCCCTCTCTCACTGCCCATCCTGCTGCGAATGCAAGAAGAAGAAGAGCTGTGTCAGATCAAGGCTCTGGCCAAAAACACCTGCCATGTGAAGCGCTTCGACAGCTACAGATTTGAGGTGACGGTCGGTATGATCCGTGACGGGAGCATGGACGACCCAGCCAGGGATATAATCTTGATGGCCAGCAGTGAGTTCCGACAGGTTCTGCTCAATCTCAACCCCGGTAACATGGTGGAGTTCAGCACCAAGCTGGAGGGTCGTCTCGGAGCCAGAGCCCCGGCCTTTGAGCTGAAGGCCATCCACTGTCTGGACTGTGTTTCCTCGCTGTTAAGTGGAGGCAGGCAGGTGAAGATAGAGAGAGACTGGAGACGCACGACGATGAGAGCGCTGAAGTTTGCCTTTGATTTTTTCTTCTCTCCTTTCCTGTCCGCAAAAATCACTGCCTGAGGAGAGAGACATCAGAAATCATTTGCTCTTCACAGAGTAATTTTCTGACAATCATGTCACTGATGCAATTTACTGTAGGATTGTTTACAAACTGATCTAACCAAGATATACCATCATTTCAAGAAGATGAAATAGTATTTTGATATTTCTGATAGTATTTTCTAGGGCTGGGCAATATGGTCAAATTTGATCAATAACAGTCAATTTTGATATCAGTATATATCAATAATAACAAATATGAATGAAAATTGCCCAGTCCCACTACTTCCTGTGAGTGCAAGTGTAAGTTTAGAAATATTTTATTATTTCCGAATGGTCTGATGCCAACATTCAGTTAGAGGCAAACTTTCAAAGTTCATTTTTTATTTTTAACACTTAAAAGAAAAGTATATTTTATAGAGCAATGTTCCTGCTGTGTTTGTATTTAGTATTTTCTTACATGTATTGTGAATAAGTGTGCATGTACAGTATGTATTTACATGTATGTCCATACATTAGCACAGTTTTATGTTTACTGATTTATTTAAAGGTGTTGCATAATATTGGTTGTGTGCAAACCATGTGAAGCTTTGTTTTACATCCTATGTGGTCTTAACACGTTCTGCTCTTAATCTTTAGTTTAATTATTGATCAGATTTTCCTTTGCCCTAAACCACAGTGCACTTAATATCATTAGTCAAAACATTGATCCAGTTTTTTATGTTTTCAGTGATGACTGTTTATGGTCAAACTTCTGCAGCTTTAGTCTCAGTTTCATGTTTGTTACACACTCATAAAAGATGTGAAGGTTTATTTTTGCTAAGTGGGAGCAGGGGACTTCTAAATGTGATGTCTTACAGCAGACATGCCAACAACAAAATTGACATTTTATGGAATTTATTTGTCAATCTCAGGAGCCAGTTGGCCTTTTGTTTTCATAGCACTGGAGGGCTTTAGATTGCTCTGATGTCATGAAACGTTAGTGAAAACATATTTCACAGTTTTTAACTCTGGTTTCTGTCACTTTCCAGTGGAAATTCAATTCTCCTACTTAGGCAAAATAAACCGTGTAAGAAGATGTTACTAAAATCAGATTATGAAAAATGCATTGTGTGAATGGGGCTGTTTTTATCAGTGCATGGAAACCCATATATGTGAACAACAATTACTGAGGTTGAGCCTGTATACTGTCATTTGAGTGTCTGTTTATCTAGTGATGGAGTGTGTGGGGGTGTGCAATGACTATTAAAGTGCTTGACTTTGAAACAAAATCCCTTGTGAGTGGTTTTACTCAGATTCGTAGCCTGACAGCATTTTAGCGCTGAGAGCAAATTGCGTCTCATTCAATTCAGACACAGACATGAAACGACCCCACGCCTTTTTTTTGTCTGATTTTCAGTTATTTTATTAATGCACATTCTTTCCATTCATCTCATTTGCTTTTGTATTGTTAGATTTGTCTTTTTTTAAAGTATGATAGATATACAGGCTAGTAGCATTGAGTAATGGCAACATGCTGCTGCTGCTGATGTGCTCCTGAACACACAGATCCTCTCACTGGTTGTCTGAGGTGGTGGTTATGATGCCATTATAACTGACTTGCTCTAAACTACATCTCACCACTGGAGGATTGAATCCTGGAACTTATATGAGGTTATATTTTGTAAATCTTTTTGTGGGTTGTCATCATCATGGAATTGGTGTGTTGAACCTTTTGTTCAACCAATCGGTTAAACACTGTGTCTGCATTCAACAACACTAATGAACAGTGAAAACCAAAACGTTATGGTTGTCTGCAAGAAAACATCCCTAACCCACAGGCTGTAACTTAAAGAGGGACTCTGGAATTTTTTAACTTATGGTTATTAATTTGGGTGTGTAAATGAGCGGTACATACAAAAACCTCTGGAAACAGTCCAGTAGATCGTCTCCTCTGGCAGCTGCAACATGGCAGCAGCGGTGATATTATAATCTAACGGGGCAACTTTGACAGTCCATGAAATAACCACTAAAATTCCTTTTTTTTCAAGATTTTTGTCAATAAAGGGCTAGAAATGGTATCCTGGGTCTTTACTAAGTGTCTGGAAACATTACAGCATTGAAAAATCTCACTCCCAACCACATAGCAGCTAGTTGACCATCCACTGAATGTTGCCTCTCTCCTTGTTAACTCCTCGTCTGTTTACTTCGGCTCAAACAAGTATGGATGGCTAAATGATCCATCATCATAGGTCACATCATAAGGATGAATAGGATAACTCCTCTCTCCAGCTCCAAGTCTCACTCTCTCCTCCATCACTCAGGAGACTTGAGAGTGAGATTTCTCATTGAGTGACACTTGTAATGTTGCCAGACTCTAAGCAAATATCCAGAATAACAATTTGAGCCCTTAATTGGTGAAAATAAGCACTTCTACTGGAAATTTTAGGAACTGTCGCAGTTGCCCCATAACATTACATTGTAGCCATTTACTGAGCTGTTTCAAGAAGTTTAGGGCCCAGGTTGAAAAATAGTTGACTTTGAACAGTATTTTTGAAATCAAAAAAATTTGGGAGAAGAAAACAGACATGTGAAGCAGACATGATTAGAATCTTTTCTTCTTTTCTTGAGTTTAAAGTTAACACAGTAAACTGTTGTTTATCCATCAGACAGAGTCATCGTCAGGTTAACAAGACTTTCTACCTCCGCACTGATTCTTTTACTCTTTTTACCTCCTATAGGACACATCCAGACCATTTACAATAATCCCATCAAGGCCACTTGAAAACAACGCACTTAATTGTAAACACTCAAACCTTGACCAGCACCCATTATTCAACACAGACGCCATCTCACCACTGTACATCTCCGTGCCTTGTGTGGGAGGCATGATGACAACATGAACCTGTGATAATGATAAATTCACATGATAGCCTATTTTGTTTTAAAGGTGAAGACATCTCAGCGATGAACATAATTGTACTGATGATAACCTCTGACCTTGACACAAACTCATCATGACTTTGATTGGCTGAATCAGCGGCCTCATTCGTGTGCTTAGATTCCAACTCTGTCTTGATTGTGAGAGCCCTCGCCGAAATGTGCTTATGCATTATAAAATGAGGAATATGCTCATTTTGAATTATCATAATTTAACATGAATCTATTTTAGTTTTATCACCAATCAGCCTCAATTTGAGCATATGTGACACGTTGTCTCTCTCATTTGAAATCATTTAGAGACCTTGATACAGCAATCAAAACTCATTGCAGGCTTAATATACACAATAAAACAGTAAGTGTTGATTTGTGCACTAATCCCTCCCTCTCTAACCAGCAATACCTGCGTATTCATGTACTGCTACAAGCTATAAACTCCAACATTAAGTCTTGACGTCTGAGTCGAGAGATTCCACGACTTTTCTATAAATTAGATCTCAGGATTGTTTGCAGTTTTCTGGACAAAGTGCATCCTTTTACCTTTTTAGCTCACTGGAACCAAAGTTGGTGCTGCCTTTTAAAAAAAGGAACAGAATATTTACAGCGAACAGTAAAAAGAGTGTGTACATTTGTGTTACCTGTAGAAGAAGATGTTTTAAAGCAGGAATACTTCTGCACTGTGTGTTTGTTAGTGCTATTATTGCAAAGTGAATAGGGCAAATATTAAGGGGTTGGATAAGCGTGCAATCTCCAAGAGCACTGCTCTGAAGGAGAGGTTCGGCTGCTGCTGTCATTCGATAGAAAAAAAAAATGGTGCCGGATGTGGTTGTGAAGAGCTGTACAATAACGCTACACTGCTAATCTTTCAGCAGACGCACAAATCTAGCAAAGTCAAATCATTGCGAGACCTTCAGGTTACGCAGCATTGTTTGGTGTTTGCTGCTACCCAGCACATATCTTCAGTTGTGTGTCAAACAGTACCAGGGCACATCAGTGAGGTGTGCAACACTGTGTGGTCAACAGCAGATGGAGAGGTGTCCCTGCACCTCTTCTCCTGCCCCTACAGTGGAGCAGCTACAGAAACATCTTCAAAAAGTGGGAGTGGAGTGGGACCAAAAACACGTCCTGGAGACATTAGTCCATCTCAGTGTTGGAAAAAAAACCTATAATACACCATCATTGTAGATCCCATAAATCGAGACTCTTGTCATTTTATAACTCATCTTTTATCAGCACAAACAGATGTGGCATCTCAGTGTGTTGTGAAACAGCTTGGCTTAGACTTAATCTTTTCGTTATGGCTGTCCACCCCCCACACCTTCTCTACGCCCTCCAAATATCTTTGAGTCACTGTTAATGATTCTGTCCACGCTCCCATCTCCCGTCACTGCGTCTCCGGGTTGACGCGATCCTGGAAGATATACAGGTTGTTGGTGGCTGCTATGGCGATGATGTTCTCGGAGGGGTGCCAAGCCATGTGCAGGATTTTCTTTGTGAAGTCCAGACTATCGACGCCCACATCACCACGCCGCCGCCTACCACCGGTGTAAACGCGCCGCGTCCGCAGAACGGCCCGAGGCTTGCTGCTTTCCCGCCACGCCTCCAGGGTTACGCCTCGGCCCGTTTCCCGGTCGAACATCCGGAAGAAGCTGTTGTACGCCCCTGTCATGATCACGCTGAGGAGAAGAGAGAGAAGAGGAAGAGGAAGAGGAAGAGGGAGAGGGAGAGGGAGAGGAAGAGGGAGAGGAGAGAAGAGATAACGAGAAGTCAACAAAGAGCCCAATAAAACAGAAGGATTGATTTGATGTCTGCTAAGCTTGTCCGTGCTATTGATTTAAATGCCTTCAACTTGTGGAGGCAGAGCATTTAGATAATCACTGTACACAGAAACACATCCCCCCTTTTTTTGCTTTAAATATACTTTACTTTGTCAATCTTTTCCCCTTTTCTCTCTCTCTGTCTGAGACTAACCTGTCTGAGCTGTTCCACACACACTCAAACTTGTCGAAGATGCAGTCGTTTTCATAGAGGGAACACAGCTTACTCCTTAGGTATTCGTGGACCTGGGGATGATGCAGATAGTCATTATTGTCTGGAGATTAAACATCTCTTTATTCTTGCAGTCACATGTCCTTCCTGAGAGTCTCATATTGCCTAGAATTTATTTCTGCATATTATCTGTATGCAGTAGGGACGTACAGATGGACAACCCGAAACAAACATTATGCCTCCTTTAGCAATCCAAAACCTATATCTGAAAATGTATATTAAAAAAAATAAGAGATAAACTCAGCATATCCTCATATTTGAGAAGCTGGAACATGTATAACCCTAACCCGATTGAAAATAGATTTTAAAAACTTGATAAATCAATTAAGTGAATGATAATATCCTCACTAAACTTCATATATTTTAAGACTCACTAATGCCCATATGACAAACATCAGCAGGCACGGTATGATATGAAACAGTGCTGTTCATAAAGTAGATTTAGGGCTCCATTCATAACAAATCCAGGTAAGACAAAGACATTATATGTTATTTCACCTGGTACGTCTCCACTGGGCCCTTGTCCATGTTCAGGTCCCACACCTTGGCGGTGAGGTAGTCTCTGGTCAGCAGATAGCGTCCGTTGTGGCTGAACTTGACGTCCGACACAGAAGAAATGATCTCTGAGAAGAAGGACCGGCTCCCTGGATCCTCAGGTTCCTCAAACTCTGGACAAAGACAGAGGAGTTAGCTGCATCACACAACTGATTATAACACAAATCTCTGTCTTATCACTCTACAGCAGAGCCATTTTAGTGACTGGAAGACAGCGTGCACTACGACTGCTCGTTTCTTATCATCACTCACGTTTGGTGTGTTTGTCACAGAGTGCAGACGATCTCATGTCACAGAGGCGCAGTGTGCCCTTGCTGCTGCTGTACACGAACAAGTGGCAGTGGTGAGGGTGGAACTCTGCGGCTGTTATCACCTCGGTCAGATCCTCCATGTTGGCTGGTTTGATGTCCACAATATCTGAGCGGACGGTCGGTCAGGAAGCAAACACCAAGCAGAGTTTGGACACAAGAATTCTAGAAGCGATGCACAAAGTGTCATGACTATATTCAAGATGGAGCAGGGGCGGATGCAGAGGTGGGGCCACGGGACCACTGTCCCCAGCTGAAATCTGATTTGCTCCTCATGTGCCCCTGTACTGTCAGTAGTCTTTTTTTGACATACACTAGTCAGTTACAAACAATACTAACAATAATAGTGACAATTTTCTGATTTTGAGAACAATTTCCAAAACACATTTAATGATGTGTATCTAGAGTAAAACAGTAAACAAGGAATGACCCACATGTGCATCTTACTGAATCAGGTGTTGTGCATGGACGTTGGACATATAATTGGCCCCTCTGTGTAAGTCTTGGCCACTTTATGGCCCCTGGTTTAGAAAAATCCTAGTTAAGGTTATCTTTAATGCTAATGTCCATCCTGAGAGGAAAAACCACAAGGAATCACATGCATAGAAGCACACAGTGAGGCAGCCAACATCATTTATGTTCACTCAGCATGTCCTTACTCCATGCTCACATCTCAATCATCACCCCAACAAACCCCACAATATGCATGCACGCTGTGCTCCTCTCTCTGTTCTATTCCTGGCCTTCCTGTGTGGTTCAGTCGAAAGTGTACCGCTCAGTGAATTATTTAAACTCTTCTCCCTAAGATGCCTCTATGATTTTCTAGGTCAGCTTCCATTTGAATAGGAAATCACCAAACGCACTGCGTCCAACAAGCCACTGCCTGCAGTGAATACAGCCTCTGAGGCATTACACAGCACTCTGATCGAAACATAAATCCAAACATGGCCATGTGCTGTTTGCATTAAATATAGATTTAGGTATGAATTTAGATGTATGGTTTCAATATTCATAGTTGTAGGAACTGAATTTGAAAACTCCATAATACAAATTGTACAAAGTGGATTTCAATGAGAGGTATTTTTTAGTACTTTAACAGTACAGGTGAGTGCTTCAGCAAACAGAGAGCAAATCAGAGAGCATGTTAGTAAAATAAATGTTGACACAATTGCATGTGTTGGACATCAACACAGCTAATTGATGCAACTTATGGCAGCATACTTATCTAATGAATTATTGACAAAGAATTATATTTACCTCCAATCAATATTCAATTATCTTTTGATGGGAAATGATTCAAATAAATGTGAACTCAACGCAAATACATTATTGTTCCAAACTTAATCTGTGAGAAAATATATATAAATCCACCTCTTCTTTCTATTCCACTTTTTGTTCCAGAAATTACTTATAATAACTTAAATAATAATGTCTATGGATAATTCTGTCATTGTTGATGTAGACATTTTGTTTTAATGATGTACAATAATACTTTTGTAGCAGTGAATTAAAAATTAAAAATTGTTCTTTTATTTAGTGCAGTTCTGGGAATCTCATACCACAGGAATTCGGAGAATCCTCCTCCTCCAGTGAGAGATCAAGTTACAAAGAAAAATCAGAGGAGAGCTACAGAGTTATGGAAGCCAGGGACTATTGTTTATCAGAACGCTGGAATTAGAATGAAACGAGAGCGGCATTAAGAAAACTAGTCACGGTTATGAAGGATACTGAAGCTGCGGTCCGTGATGCCCAGGTGCCACATGTTGATGCGGAGGTCGTCTGCAGACAGGTACGTCTCCCCGTCACTGTTGACTGAGATTGAGTTGACGTGGTAAGTATGTCCATTGGCGAACACTCGTCTGGGGCGGACCTCTACCATCAGATCTGTGGGTTTGAGCACTGGCACCTTAGATAAAGAGAGAGAGGGTGTAGCAGTGTGAGGACAGAATGAGAAGTCAGGGAACACGTGAGGGTCAGAACAAACACTGACCTTAACAGACAAATATCAACCTGATACAGTTAAGTATCAGGTTTGACTGCCCAAAATAAAAGTGTGCATGTGCAGTCAGTGTGTGTGTGTGTGTGTGTGTGTGTGTGTGTGTGTGTGAGTGTGTTTGTGGTACCTGCAGAGAGGTGATGGTAGAGATGTCCTTCAGCCGTCCCTCCTCATCTTTCAGGTTGTATCCCTCTGGTCTCTTGTCTCTCTCACTCACCTTCCACAGTTTAATGGTCTTATCTGTGACACACAGACGTTTTCACATCAGATGAAATCAGTTTAGTTGAGGGAACAATAAAAACAAGAGTTAAGGTGATCCACATGATCAAAATCTTTAGTGGAGCTGAAAATTGTACTTAAGGAAGCAAGCAACTCATGCAGCATGTGAGCTCTGATATTTTTTTTACTTTCAATTGAGTCTGATATTATTTCAAAAATATATATAGTGAAACATCAATAAATAGTGAAAATAAATAAAAGGTACTTGTGTGAGATAGCTAACAATCCAAAACCTAAATGAAAGTGTTCAATATTAAAAATGAAGTAAAATCTATAAATTTGAGATCAGGAGGTAGAGAGGGTTGTGAACTAACCAGCACTCTGACAGCCATGTTGATATGTGTACACATGGTTGTATGATAGATAAAAGTGTGGCATTGTATGCATTCACAGCAACTTGAATGCAACTTGTCCTGTAAATCACTTTGAGTGGTTGATAAAACTAAAAAACACTATATATACAGTATATACAGTCCACTTTCCATCAATTGATAGAATCTAAGCTACTTTGGAAACAAAGCTTCAATATATGATGACAGGGTGGTGTCACTACTGTTCCAACAAATGTGTGTCCAATGACTTTGCTTGAATATTTTACAGTAAAACATGATGCCAGTTAACCCTAATGCAGGGAACTGGAGTTCTTGAAAGTTGTAATTCACACCATGGTCAGTATTCACAGAGATGGCCTGTAGGTATGCTACATCTCTAGTGTGAACTATGAAGCTGTACTTTCTGTTCATGCTCCGCGTCACCGATGTCTCACCATTGGTGGAGAGGAGGAAATGTGCAGCGTTCTGCTGCGGCAGCCATCTGATCTTGTTGATCTTCTCCTCAATCTCCAGACTCTTCAGGTAATCAAAGTCCGGCTCATGGCTCTGGAACGTGCTGTAGACGTTGTACTCCCCGGAGTCCCCTGTGTCCCCTGCCTCCTCTGTCTCCCCTTTAGACTGTCCAGGGCCAAGAGGGGAAAGAAAAGGTTTAGAATCCATGCAGACTCATAGAAAGGGATGATTATTACAGGTTTTACGTTATAAACTGACCTCTGTCTCTCTCTGGAAGATGACCACTCGGCCACCTTTATCCCCCGTGGCCAGCAGGTCCCCTGTCTGGTTAAACTCCACTGTAGAGATGACATCAGCTGAGAGGAAGACAGGAAAAAGGAAGATGATAAGGCAAGACAGTGGTTATAATAAAAGGATTATAGAGGGAGGGAGAAAAAGAAAAAGAGATGACAGGAAAGAGCGGATATTCACCAGGAACAGAGCAGGGAGTGGGAATAAAAGAGAAAGAATACTGGATTGTTACAAAGAATCTTTTTCAGCAAAACCTTATACTGAGCAAGATTCTTTGTAATGAACAAATGAATAAATGAACCATACATCCATGATGCTACAATCTGTTTGCTCAAACCATCACGTTATCTGACACCACAGAGGCAGCGACAACACAACGTCTACTCTACCTTCAGTGACGTAGTCTCGCAGGAAGGTGTGGTTGATTTTGGAGCTCTCAGTGTCCTCGCCCATCTGAAGCCGAGGGAGGGTGACCCGCCAGCGCGCCCGTCCTGAGGGGAAGGGTCCAAACCGTACTCTCTCTCCCCACCCAGGCTCCGCCCATGCTGCTAGGGCCTAGCGAAGCGGCCTGGAACAAGGCATTCTGGGAAACCACAGCCAGGCCGGAAGGATAGAGAGAGGCGTGAAGAGGAGATGGAGGAATGGGGAGGGAGAAAGATGAGGGGGTTTTTGAGGGAAAAGGAAAAAGGTGAAAAAGATGCAGAGGATATAAAAGCAGGAATTGGTGATGAAGAAGATATACGAGGCCAAGGGGAGTGGATGGAAAATCTGTTGATGAAGATTGTGAGGAGAAGAAGATGGTTGTCATTAGGGAAGGCTGACAATACAGGCTCACAGCATGCCAAACGGTGTGACCTTTGTTAGACATTCAACGCGCTCATTACCACAGACACACGTGTAGACACACGAGGCCTCGTCAGTGCTGAAGTGAATCCCAGAGGGAAGAGGGGAGGAGACAACAAACAGCTCCAGCAGATAGAACACTATATAAAACCTTGTGTGTGCACACAGAGGCCAATAGAAAGATGTAGGACGTCCATCATTCAACATTTAGTCAACGCATCTCCAGCGGTGGTGCTAAATGATCCCAGGGTGTGGTAGTCCTCTCTACTTCTCTATCTCTGTGCTCACACACACACACTTCTCAGTTAGACCTTGACGGTGATCAGAGGAGAACGCGATGTGTTGCCTGTGCTGCAGGAGGGAGGGAGACAGGCCTCAGCACACCTACCAGTCCGCCTGCTGCTGCTGCTGCTGATGATGATTCTGCTGATGCTGATGCTGCTGATGCTGCTGATGCTGATGCTGCTGCTATCCTTCCTGGTGCGTCCTCTGCTGCAGTGTTGCTCGAGCAGGCCTGCGTGTCCGTCCGAAGGAGGGGAACAGGGAGAGAGAAGAGAGAGCAGAGGGGTGGCGGTGAGAGGAGGAGAGGCAAACAAGGAGAGAACGAGAGAGGGAGAATGAGGAGGAGGATGGAGGTCCACTGCCTGCTGATGCTGTGGAAATGATTCTGTGCAGCATCCACTGTGTCATGGCAGCCTCCTACTGGAGCAGCCAATCCTGGATCAGCTGTCAATGGTGGAGCCGCCCACTGCAGGTGATGAGGAGAGAGAAGCCAGCAGAGGGAGCCATTAAAGCACTGTGAGTGGTTAAAGATCCACAACTAATCTGTGGGTTTCTGCTAGGAAGGATTTGAATACAGTTATTAAAAATTAATTAAATACATCAGTTTCAATAGGTTTGTTAAAACTGCAAGGATTTCTACACAGACACCACAGTGTCACATGACCGTCTCTGAGGCTGACGGTTTGATGAGCCTTTCCTCAACATTCTATGGCGTCACATAAAATATCAATTTGTGATTTATACTCCTCTAGTTTTATTTTACGATGGTCATCATGTTGACTTCTCTTCAGAATCAGACAGAACTTTACATGACTTTCCTGAAGTTTCCCATGATTTTCATTCCAGTAATTAGTTACTCAGTTAGTAAATGTGGGTTTGGTAGAGCCAAACCCACATTTACTAACTGATATACATACTGTTTATTTCATTTTGAAATATTTTTGGTCACACTTTTTTATAGGATGTGTGCCTGTTTTCATGCACTTAAAAATTAAACATACAACACAATATTTTTTCACATTATACTATATATATATTTGAAAAAATGCCCAATTATATTATTATAAATAATTCCAGTATACCCTCCTGTATAGAACTTTATATATATATTTATAAATTATTAACTGTGCCTTATTTCTTAAGACATTACAACACTGAAGTAAAGTATATATACTTTATTGATAATTAAAACAATTAAAAATATATTAAGTAATTATTTCATTTATTCAACTACCATCCTGTTCATTTTGTATTACTATTTTGTGCACAATATTCACAGTATGTGACTCATAGGGACACTATTGTGTTTTGTGCTGAAGCATGTGTGTGTTCTGTTATTGAATTGCACATGTTTTTGATTTCCTGACAGAGGACATGTTGCAAATGTTGTGACAGCTCATTATAATATATATAATTTCTTAACAGGTGAATATACCACAAATAAAATGTGCATCACTACAGCAGATCACGTTTGGCTGTACAATGAAAATCTTACTCGCAGTATTTGACAGTAAACTCATGTAGTCGATGTGGGTTATAACAGAACTGACCAGAGGACTGCAGCCTTTACAGCTTGGACCAGAGCCACTCATTCTTTAATCGGTTTCCTTGAATTAATGAACTTGTGGCTCCATGCTATCTATGAGAGTTCAGGGGATTACCTTTACGCAATAGTTTCCACGGGCTCCGCCTTCGGTCTGACTCCTCACATGATTCACATGGTTTCTCCTGCACAACTCAACAGACTTTGAACGATCCTCTGTTTGGTCGCTGTTCACCTGAGCGAGGCGATGCCCTGTTTCCAGTCTGAGGCGCAGGAGTCCACGGAGCCGAACAGTGACACTCCCGGGGGAGGAGAGGAGTCCTGCCGCAGGGTGACAGTGACGGAGCCGCCGATGAGCAGAGACATGGGCTGGTTCTTCTCTCCTCTGTGGAGCCCTCGCTCCAAGACGCGCAGGTTTGGAGACCGTATGACCCGGGACCGAGTGGAGGCCTGGCTGGATGATCACTCTGACTTTACCAGGGCCTACTTTTTACGCAGAGCTTCAGCGTAAGATATTATAAAACTGCTAAATTAGATTCCCTACATTAGAAAAGTCATATAGTCTATTGTTGTTGTGTAAAAGCTGGTTGTCAATTACTGACAGGAAATAATCACTTTAGGAGTATCAATGGACTGAAGCAATGCACGAACAGGGGCGTATATTTCATCTCACTGTTGGGGGGATGAACAGAAATTTCTGATGGGGACACAAAAGGTTCCACTCAAAGTACTGTTGTACAGGCAATTGCATATATTGGTTATAATAATAATAATAATAGTGTTCAGTCCAGTAGCCTGTATAGTAGTCATAGAGAGGCGTCATCCATGAACCAAACTAAAGCAAATAATATGCTTTATTAGATTTAATTTTCCTTCAATAACATTTTCCGTAATGTTTTCAATGTGTAAAAACCCATAGTAAGGCCTTGAAGAAACATTACAGTTTTTGTTGCAATTATGTCTTCCTGCAGGAAATTACACCATGTCAGCCATTTTACATGCAATAAGAAAAAGGAATCTACAAAAGACAATGTTGTTTGTAATGATAAGTAAACAAAATCATGCACATCCAAATTTGATAAACATTAGGTGCTGGAAAGAAGTGACGGAAATAAGAAGATGAAAATATCCACAATGCTTCAGTCATTGCTCCCAAAAACCTAAATCATTTTATCTTCCAGGTACCTTGACGTTTTTGGGAGCATCAGCTTGTGTGTAGAGATTCTCCTCTTCTGATTTTCAGATGTAAACCCACATTTTAATGTGAGCAAGTAGCAGTGGACAAAACCACTGAGGCCTATAAAAGTGGGGGCAAATTGTCAAAACTTGAAAAAGGCTTTATTTTACATCTGTAACACAAGTACTTTCAATGCATATTATTATACTGTTTATAATGATATGTTTGCAATGACATTGAGGGGAAAACTCTTTTATTCCCAGGATGTGGTGGTCCAGAACCCCCTGTCCGCCCTGTCATACAAAATGTACACAAAATGTTATTTCCACAAAAATATTCTGAATATCTTCTGAGGTCCACTGTCCCATCAAGTCAGTCATGTGATCTGTCTTGTGTGTGACTTCAGGGTCAGTGTTCCACAGTCTCCACTGGTGCCCACGTTTCCCAGAAGCAGCTCTGATCACTCTGACATGTTCCTGAAGGCTCGTCACGGCAGAGATTCGTCTCCACTTCCCTTCTCTCACCTGAACATCTCATCTGTAAACGACCAGCTCAAACCCCTCGCCTCCAATCTCTGTCCCTCTGACTCAAAGGACCCTTTTAGTCCAGATGCTCTGGCTATGCACTCGCCTTGTTCTCTTCATTCTTCCCGTTTCTCTTTTCCTCCCTGTCGACCTCTTTCTCCCATTTGCCCTGGCTCTCCTGACCTCTCCCATGCACCGCCTCAGCTTCTGTGGCCAACCGCTGCAAACACCACAGCCTGTGGCCATGGTGAGGGCTGCCCATGGACGATGGAGCTCCTGACAGGAGGTCTCAGTTGGATAGGTTCTGTGGCTGAGCTCTGCCAGGGGGCTGTCCTGCACGTTGGGGAGGTACTGGCAGCTGAGGGCAGCTGCCTCGCTCTGGTAAAGAAAGACGGCGGTGGAAAGAGCACCTTAGTGGAGGTGGTTCCCCCGACCACACTGGAGTGCTTGAGCAAGGCCAACATCTGCAGCCACGGACACCTGGAGCTGCTGAGGGGTATCATGGGATGTGTGCTGGCTACAGGGTCTCCAATGAACCTGAGAGACACATCAGAGGTAGCTGCTTTCATGACTGTGCATTTTGTACTAAGCTTTTTTAGACATGCGACACACACGTTTCTAGGCATGACAAAATCTTTAGCTACCAGGTGCAGGTATTTTAGGCCTAAGGACAGTTCATTAAATCCTGTTTACTGATTACCTGGTTTTAGATGATGACCTGGTTATTCATGCTGTGTGATGGTGTGTGTAAGGGAATCCCAAATGACGCACCTCCTTTTAATCCTATTAGCAACTTCTTCCACGGATTAACCTTTGATATTTGAGATGTCCTGTGCTCGGCTGAAGTGTGTCCTTCCCTTACACACACACACACACACACACACACACACACACACACACACACACACACACACACACAGAGGGAAGACAGCACATCTTATTAAAGGACTTTAAGAAGTTGCCCTCACCACCCCTCCTCTTCGTCACCATCAATGTGATTAGGAGTCAGTGGCAGCCCCATACAGAGTAGAGTAATCCTCCATCTGTGTGGGTGTGGATGGGTAGTTCCTAATAAACTTTGGGACACCTAGGTTATTAGAAAATGTGGGTATTCCTGGCCAGATGTGACAAGCTAATAATCTCTCTTAACTAGGTTTATTTATATATCCCTTTACACGTCTCTCATGTCTTTGTTTTCTGATTACCTCCTCAGTACCCAAAGTTCGACTTAGATGAAGATCAACCATCGGACTTTAAGATCAGGACTGTTTTAAATGTGCCCATAAAGAACCACAGGGGAGAGGTATAGTTTATCTCAGTGTGTGTTTGACAGATTTATTCGCGTCTCTGACTAAATGTAAAAATACGAATGCTGTACCTTCCAGTGTATTTCAGTATATTTTGATGTTTACAGGTAGTAGGTGTAGTGGTCATGATCAATAAGAAAAGTTTTGAAGATGGACCAATTTCTGCTTTTACCAACATGGATGAGAAGGTGAGGACTTTGAGGTTCTCTCATTTGAAATAGAACTGCATATTATTTTGAAAATCTTACATTTGAATTTGATTGGCCAGGTGCTATCAAATCACATGGATGTATTGGGGATGGTCTTGGATAATGTCCAGCTGTACGAGAGCTCGAGACAGGAGGCCAAACGAAGTCAGGTAAGATATAAGATATACTTGTAAGGGGTGTTTTGACTATACGCGCTGGTACTTTGATGCTAACATGTATGCTTGTGTGTCAGGCCTTGATCGAGATGGCACAGGTGTTGTCGAAGGAGCATCACTCGTTTGAGGTTCTGCTGAGTAAGATGGCGGCCACCATCATGCCCTTCACACATGCTCAGTACTGCACCATCTTCATCCCCGACGAGCAAACCTCAGTCATCCCAGATGAGGTGAAGAGGTGTAAGATAGCTTGTTTAATTAGTCATGCATCACATATTTCCTGACTTATCTTCTGTTCCTCTGCTGATGACGCTTCAGATTTTGTTCTCACGAGTGATACACCTGGAATGTGAGGAGCTCGGATCAACCTGCCAGGTCTACAGAAGGTACTGCCAGGTCTACAGAGCACAAATCCTCTAATATGAACAAATATGTTATATCATTACATTACATATTGTGAAATACTTTTCAGGGAGCAGGACATCAGCGATATCGATCCATCGTATGCCCTCCGAACTCTTGTCACCATGGAAACACTTAATATGTCTGAGAGTTGTGAAGGATCATTAAAGAGTCTGATCTGTTGTCCTGTTAGAAATGAGAGGTCTGAAAATATTATCGGTAAGTCACTCTGTTACATGGCAACAGTTATTTTACATTATTGAATTACTCATCATTGAACTCATCAAATTATTATACATATATACCTCCTCTTAAACAAAGTATCACTATTGTTCATGTGCAATATAATCATAGACTGTTAACAAAGATGGAGGCATGAAAGCTCCGTCTAAGTGAAGCCAAAGCCTTTCAGTCGCCACCTGGTGGCTGGCCATGGTATTATAGGTCATAAACCCTAGGCTAATTCTTATCGCACTGATGTTTGTTCAAGTATTTTTTTTTTTTTGTTAGGTTTGGTCGTAATTATTTATTTGATGCTACAAAAACTGGGTGAAATGTCATGATTGACAGTTGAGACTGACATGTGATTGGTCGAGTGTGTGTATCGGTAGCAAGGCTCCACCCCCTGATCATCACTGTGTAGACAGTGGCTTCAAATGCACAAGATGGCAGCTTTCATATCCAGGGAGATTTTAACTTAATAAATTCTGGATAGCGGGAGGAATTAGAGGTGCATAGTCCATCTTTATATACAGTTTATATTATAGTCCAATAAATACACCAGATGCTCTTTAGAGTTACCAACCTGGAAAGTAAAATATGCTACTTGCTGCGTAGTGTGATCAAGACTACAAGGCAGGGGTGTAATTTAACCCTTCAAAAATACTAGATCATGCTGATACACATAAGAGAAACAGGCAGATTAAACTAGGTCATTCTACCACACCACTGTAACATCAATACGAGATGATCCAAAGACTAAAGATGTGGAACTTCTTGTCACTCAGCTGTGTGCCAGCTGATGAACAAATGCAGCAGGGAATCGGATGACACGGAAGCCTTCAATAAATATGATGAGCGTCTATTGGAGGACCTGGCGGTGTACTGTGGCCTGGCTCTGCAGTATGCTCAGGCTGTGCAGATCACAGAGGAGCGAAGGGCCAGTATAGAGGTCACACAGGAGGTAAGAGAACTGCCTCACCTTATTAGCTCATATCTTTTATCCTTAACATGTGTTAAAGTTAAGACTGTCTGTGTGTTCACTTTTCTCCCGGCAGGTTCTTGCCTACCACATCACTGCAGCAGAACAGGAAATCCAGGCATTACAGGTGATTCTTCTCCACGTCTCTCCTCTTTCAGTTCCTCTAAATGCCCATCTCGTCTTATACCTCTGGTATAATGTTTTTGGGTTGTCAGTTCATCCATACATTCCATTGTGAACACAATATCTCTAGAACGCCTTGAGGGGATTTCTTTAAATTCGGTACAAATGCTCAGTTTTAGTGGTCAAAGGTCAAGTTCACTGGGCTCTTTAAAACACATTGTTTGCATTGTGAACAAGATATCTCAGTGAAACATCTGGGGAATCTTTTCAAATTTGGTGGAAGTGTTCAGTTTGACTCATGGATGAACTGTTTATTTGTCAAAGGTCAAGTTTAGTTACAAAATATGGTTTTTATCTTGCAAATGTAATATCTCAAGATATAGATTAGGGAAGGTCACAGTGATATTATTTTGAAAACTGCACTGGTTGTCTCCCTACACTTTTGTCATCCTGTCATTAGTCCTGTTATTGCCACTGCAGTTTATTCTGCTGGTCAGACTAACTGGCATTCATGCTCAAGTACAGTTAAGGCCCTACCATCCTAAACCTCTTCATTTGTTGCTATTGCTGCCAGCAGGTGGCAAAGGTAAAGGTAGCATCCGCCCTTGGAGCCTATTCTGTGTGGGCGGGAGGTAAAGAGAGCAGTGTTTTTTTCAGTGGTACACAAGGCTGCAGGTGTAGTTATACAAGTTGTCCTGCACTTGTACATGTGATTGTGAGTGGTTGGACGTTTGAGTATCATCAAGGCTTTTTCTGTTTTTCTGTTTTTAGGAGGTCTCCATTCCTTCTGCTGAGTCACTGCACATACTAGACTTCCACTTCTCTCACTTTGCTCTGCCAGAGGATCTGAGCACACAGGCCACAGTTCGTATGTTCCTGGACCTCAAATTAGTGCAGGAATTTAACATCGATTACAAGGTGACTGACCCGCTAATAATAATAATAATAGATAGAATATTTGATTCATTGTTTAACCATACCACCTGAATATGGATGAGAGATTGATTTTAATTTTGACATGCATGTGCAAAGTATATTTCTGATATTTCTAACATTTTGGGGAATGTTGAGTTATCTGATGCCAAATTACACCAGAAGATGTATTAAAATCATTTGAACTGATACCTGAAAACACACTTTTTCCTGTCTCTGTCCTTTAGAGTCTGTGCCAGTGGGTCCTGACTGTGAGGCGTGGTTATAGAAACAACGTGCCTTACCACAACTGGAACCACGCACTGAGCACTGCACAGAGCATGTTTGCTATGCTCATGGCCACAGAGCAGCTCCAGGTCCGTGTGTTCATGTGTCTGTAGGATCATGTACAATAACTATCAATAGCAAAAATCTCACATTTTCAAAGACAGTAATATATGTTTTCAAGCAAAGTTTCAGAACAATACCTGGAAATGTTCTGGTGATTTATTTGCTCCCTCTTATCAGGACTGTGTGGGTTTGACTGAAAGCTCCTGTTGAATTCAATTGGGCGGGATGACTTGTTCACATGTCATTCTTATTGGTCCTTAGAGTTCAATGACAAATTCCTACTGCGTTTTCACCCATTGACAACCTGACAGAGTCTAATCAGCCAGAGTGACTGTGTTGACAGTCCTCCATGTGTGACTGTATCAGAAGCAGCTGCCTTCTTCTGAGTCTCCTCTGTTTTAAACTCTTCATGTTCAGCTATCCTGAAGTTTGGGGAGTGATTCGAGGACTGCAGGGTTTCAGCAGGACACAAGGCCTCAAAATTATTTCAAAGGGGATTCATTTTTCGGCTTTTGCAGAAATCTCTTAACTGCTGTCAGTGAAGATCACACACCTGCTGCTCACACATTTCGGCCTCTCTCTGTTGACATCAATAATTGTGATTGTGTTTTATAATGCAGTGAAGCTAGTCACTCCATCCTGCTTTGCTTTAATTGAGTAGTTAGACTGACAATAACGTGATGGTAAAATTTGGTATTTCCATCTTTCTGTTTAATTTTAAATGTTGAAAAAAGCCCTGTCTCGCAATGATAAAGAAAGTGATAAAAATCCCTGGATCCTTTCATTAATCCATTCTGTAGTTTTTGCGTAATCCAACAAACTAAAACCTAACTTCTTGGCTGATAAAACTGAATAAACTTTCATGTTGAGAATCAAGGAAACAGTAACTTCACTCTGTCCATCTCTGTCTTTGTTTCTCTCACAGACTATTTTTTCCCGTCTGGAGATCTTAGCGTTGATGATCGCCACTCTCAATCATGACCTCGACCACAGAGGAGTCAGTAACTCCTATATAGAAAGGTACATTTTTCATTTCTCGTGTAGTTATTTTCCATTACAACTAATAAAGTTATTTCTTTTGATTTCATTTATTACATAGATTATTTTATCAAATGTCTGCCACTGCCTTGTTATACCTGTATGATTTCTCTCTATCTCTCAGGAGTCAGCAGCCTTTAGCTCAGCTCTATGGACACTCTTCTCTTGAAAACCACCACTACAACCTGTGCCTCTTTATCCTGAACAACACTGTAAGACCTCATCCATCCATATCCATCATTTCATTCATTCCGACTCAACACTTATTTTTGTATCAAGCCACTACATCATATATCTTTCTGTCTCTTTACCTCAGTCCATGTTTTCATAAATTCAGCACACATGCACATGCACACACAAAGCAAAGATAGAGGGACATGATGTTAGCACTCCTGAGAGAAAGCTCCTTAAAATAACTCTTATTGTGTCACAGTATTTGTTCTTTATCAGATATCCTGTGTTTATGTCTGAATGCTTCTTCATTAATCTGTTGATCACTAAGTCTGAATGTCCCCTTCACTCACTCTGTGTCTCTCCTCCTGCAGGGGAGTCAGATCCTCAGTGGCCTCTCCACAGAAGACCACAAAACTGCTCTACACACGATCAAGAGGGCGATCCTCGCCACCAACCTCACCGTGTACATGGAGTGAGTTGAAAGATAAAATGTCAGAGCAGCTGGAGGTCTTGTGTCATCCAAGTCTTGCTTTAACTCCCATTTTTTGTGGTTCTGTTTTTAGGAGAAGGGATGAATTCTTTACTCTTGCTAAGAAAAGCAGAGTGAGCTGGAAGAGTGAGAAACAGAGAGAGCTGTTGAGGTGAGAGTGAAATCAATATCAAATCAGGGTCATATGATAATGATGCGTGTGATGAGGACGTGCTGTTAATATGTTTATTCACCTCACAGGTCCATGTTAATGACAGCTAGTGACCTCTCTGCTATCTCTAAGCCTTGGCCTGAACAAAAGAGGGTAGGTCTCATTAAATATAAACTCAACACTTCATCACTCAGTTCATCCAAACCTCATTGTCTCTCCTCCACTGAAACAGATTGCCAAACTGGTTGCCATGGAGTTCTTTGCACAGGGGGACAAAGAGAGAGAAGAGTTCAAAATTGAACCAATTGTAAGTTTCTCTTGAGCTCCTACATATTGCTAAAACAAAGTCAGATCAGGGAGCCTGTGTTTTTAAGAGAGCTTAAAAATAGCATTACATTTATCCAGTTCATGTTAAACCTTGGTAACAGTAGAGAAACAATGAAGGAATGCACGCAGCAGTCTTTCAGCCCGTTCAAGGGTTTCTGGAGAGTCTTTAAAAGTCTTAAAATAATCTAAATATGTTGCCTGCAAATGTGTTTTTTATCAAAGTACATTTAGTGAAATATCTTAGCTGTTCTTTGTTTTGTGATATAAATTATGACTGACTTTTTTTCATTGTTACAGTTAAGTCTTTTTAACAAATTCCATAAAACATCCTTAGCCATGTTTTAGATTGTTAGGTTTAATGTAACATCAAAAGGAATTTACCATGGTTAATAGAAAATTAATCGAGCCTCATTTTAAATATATCTACTCTAACAGCCAGTTTCCCCTCTCTTCTCACCAGGACATAATGAACAGAGAAAACAGCACTCGCCTGCCATACATGCAAGTTGAATACATTGATGAGATTTGTTATCCACTCTACAAGGTGCGTTACAACATTTTCGTTAATCTTTTATCCTCTAATTGAATTACCTTTCTTTCCACTTCAATCGTCCCACTCTTTGTCTCTGTCTCGTGTTTTGTGTGTCGTCCTCAGGCTGTTTCTGGACTGTTTGACACCTGCACCCCACTGCTGAATGGCTGTAAGAAAAACAGAGAGAACTGGCTGCATCTGGCTGAGGAATCAGAGGAAAACAGTGAAAATACAAGTATAGCGAGCCTGGAAACTCACACAAACAGTGAGGAAGAGACGCAGCCCGAAGAATAGAGGACAGGAGAGAAGACAGACTTTTTTCTTTTGAAGCAAAAAATAAACCAGTTTACTCTTGATCCTGTCTTGGACTAATGTTTGACTCCATGCCCACACTTTCATTATCAAATGTGTTATTGGGATATACAAATATCTTGTGAGGATGCTAAAACAGCCGAGCGGCAGCATTCATTTAATAAATTCTTCTTTCTGTGTGTTGTGATCAGTGGGTAAATGAAATCACAGGATGATCAAATCAGATGAAATGTGTTAACTGAGAAAAAAAAAAAGTATATTTAATTTTCTAATGTGCAGTTACCATCCGCTGCCTCTGGGGGGCGGTGGAGCGCTTTAACGTGGCGCCGGTGCCGCGGACTGCCAACGTGCAGAAGAAGACGCGGACGCGAGGACAAGAGGAAGAAACATGACAGGGCGCGCGAAAAGAAAACCCAGATGCAGTCAGGTAATGGCTCTCCGCTCGGTGGGGTCACGGGAATGTCCGTTTGAAAACCCGGGTTAATCAGACGGAAGAGCTGCGGGGCGCTGAGCCTCGGTGTCGGGGAGAGCAGCCTGTGTTCACCGCTGTGGTCTGAACTGTTGGAGCCGCTGTGTGTGAGCAGCAGTCAGACAACATGGCAGCCCGCAGACCTGCTCCTTCACCCTATCAGCAGCTTTCATCAGAACGGTCTGATGGCGTCACAACGAACCATAACAGTGTGTTTGTTGTAGCGTGGTCAGCTGCCATCACCTTCACCTCTCTGGGGTCTGCTGTAGGAAAACCTGCGTCTGCATGAGTCGTGGTTTGATGCCATTAAAACCTAGAACCAGTGCATGAACCTTAATGAAGCAGATTTATAGAAAAGTTTAAAGGTTCATTGTGTAGAATTAAGTGACATCTAGTGGTGAAGGTACATGTTGCAGCTGCACACCCCTCACCTCACCCTCCACTTCCAAACACTGATTCTGGGGTTAGGATTATTTTATATTAAATGTCTGCCAATAGATCCCTTCACCTAAACCTTCCACTGAACCTTTGAGGCCTTAACTTGTTATATAAAATACATTGAACACAGACCATCAGGCTTCTTCATTCATGAAGGTGAGGGTTCATTCATAACTCGATTGACATCCAGTATTCCTCTGCATATCTGCTCTCTGCTTTGTTGCTCACTTAACCTCTGATAATGAGCAATAACTTGTGTAAATATATACAGATGTGTGTGTATTTATACACATGCCACTTTGGTTTTACACTTGCATCCTCACACTCATGTTATTGCATTTGATTTATATTGAGCTCTCTTTCGTTTGCATTTATTCTTACTTTATATTTTCTTATTGCTGAGCTGACGAGTCCATCTCATCCAATATGACCCCCTCACTTTTGGAAGCTGTAGTTTGTGATGCTGCAGAAGTGGTTTATTTCTGAAAGATAATTTTTAATAGCAGTTCAGCCCTAAATCATATGAATGAGGTGGATGATACTAAATACTAGTTAGCTTAGTGCCTTGTTGTATTTTATAGGCTTTAGCTATAACTTGGTGTAACAAATAAACAGACAACTTTAAATACAATGTGGTTGTTTCTCCTACTAAACGTTTCTTTAGGAGTCAGGTGCAGGCAATGGGGAGCTGAAGAAAGCCCGTACTGAAGAGTCCAAAGCCGCTCCGATGTCAAAGGTTGATTCAGAGCAACGTGATGAGATGGTGCGACTGTACAAGCTTCAAATGCCAGAAGACCTTTACCACTTCTGGGATTTCTGCAAGGAACTTTGTCCTGACGACCCACGTGGTATGATCTTTACAATAACAGCAGGTTCAGTTCAGTTCTACTAAGAGGACAGAAGGTACATCTGACATTTAATCAATTCTTCTGTCTGTAGACGTAGAGTAAACAGGATGGAGCCACTGGGTTTAGGGATTCTTAGCCAATGAAAGGTCTGATTGAAGTCTTTGTGAGAAAAAAACTCTGTACCAGCCAAACATCTGTGAGATCCTGCTTATAACTAGCCTTTACACAAGTGTCTTTGTTTGACGATGGCTTTGTATTTGTCAGTTTAGCACAGACAAGCGGTTTCATGGTCTGTCTAATATTGTTCTTTGAGTTATGAGTTCTGTCAGTCCATAGCAGTCAATAAACATGTATTCTATTTAAAAAAGCTGTTGGGCAGCCAAGACAAAAAAAGAACTGATCACATCAACTTGGGCTCTGATCATTCTGATGATAATTTTTTTCTCTGTCAGTTAATGTCTGTATTATTGTGCCATTTTTTTCTTTGTAGGTGCGCTGCAAGAAACTCTGGGTTTGCAGCTAGTTGGTCCGTTTGACATTCTGGCTGGAGCTCACAAAAGCTCAAAGAATCCACACCCTAACTTCCATCTTCACTGGCGGTACATTTACGACCCACCAGAGTTTCAGACCATACTTCACGGATGTGAGGACAGCCAGCATCACATCGGCTATTTCAGGTTCAGCACAGTTCTTTCCCACTAGAAGCCCATGAAGGTGTTAAATCTATTCTGAGCCAGTGCTGTGTTGAAATTTTGTAGCTTCCACTTGAGGACTCTTGACTTAGCTTATGAAAACAGTTCCCATACAGTCTGGCTAGTGAGGGGTTGTTGATACAGAAACATGAATACGGTTTGGTCTGATTTATTCTCTCTGGATTTTATTGTCCACCAGAGACACTCCAGACTCCCTCCCTTCGTTTGTGGGGGAGAGTGAAGCCAAGAAGGGCTGCACTATAACACAGATGGGGGACAACTTGTTTGCTGCTGTCCTGTGAGTACTAACGACCACATATTCACCCACTTAATATTCTTGTAATCAGTTTATGTTGACTGGTTAAGAATGTTTACCATAAATAAATGTGTTTTATCCAGCTGTCAGTTGTTTATATATTTTAGTACATGATCAAATTACTAAGTCAGTTTTCTGGGGGGAAGGCAGAAGTCACTTTTCAGTTGTCAATGGAAGCAAAAGGTGAAAAGGGATTCCAGATATCGTTACAGTACAAATCAGCATGTAAGGGTTTTAAAATGTAATATTTATTCACACACTGTCAGTGGTCACACAGTTTTGGTGCATGCACCTGTCATGATAATCGTCCTTATTGTGTGTGTGCACATTGTCTTCACACATGTGTTAACAGGGGAGATTGATTCCTTTGTTTTCTCCTGTGTCAGCCTATATCTTCTGCGGAAGAGGAAAGAGAGGGGCAACAAGAAGGCAGGGGGAGAAGCTTTGGAAATCTTGGAGGCAAAGCTGAGAGACAGGACAGAGACACTGGGCTTGTCTTTCGAGCAGAAGACCAAAGGCATGAAGCTGAGGGACAAGAGGGTAACTTACATCAAACTGTTGTTATGCGCAATGTGATGTTTTTCACACTCACTGGTACATCTCCTAATTTTCACCTAATATGTTACTTTGTCCATTGGACTGCAACTTGAAATCAATGTGGTTGTGTTTCTTAAATACTGTGTACAATTGTGTTTTAAAAAACAAACACCTCTGGTCACTGCACAGGTGGTTACAAAGACGTTCCACGGTGCTGGCATCGTTGTGCCTGTAGACAAGAATGATGTAGGATACAGAGAACTTCCAGAAACAGATGGTGAGATTACATATACATAGTATTAAAGTTTGGTGATCATTAAAGTGCCATGTGCCACTTTAGTCTTGTTTTTATTTTAATATCTAGGAGGTGTTTTACCTCTTTGTGTAATATAGATATCAGTTGTATGGATTGACAACCTGAAGTTTTATCTCCTCACACACTTTGCTTCTTAGTGTATGTTTATAATTGTGTGTATGACAGTTGATACACTTATAGTCGACATAAATTAATTTTCTGTGAATTGTATAGCTGGTCTCAAAAAGATCTGCAAGGCGATTGCTGATGCACGAAATGATGAAGAGCGCGTCAAAGCGTTTGGACCTCTCCAGGAGATGATCACGTTTGTTCAGTTTGCCAATGATGAGTGTGACTATGGAATGGGCTATGAGCTGGGAATAGACCTCTTCTGTTACGGATCCCATGTAAGTCTCAAAACCAACTCAAATATTCTCTCCTGCGTACAAAGCATCAAATCAATTTTGCAGTAAGAAGGTTAGAATAAATATGTTTATTGATTTTTATTTTTTTTTGTCCTGTCAGTATTTTCATAAGGTAATCAGGCAGCTCCTGCCCATGGCCTACAGCTTGCTGAAACGAAATTTATTTGGGGAAATTTTGGAGGCCCACCTCTCAGGTCGTAGCCATGACAACCTGGACCAACTCTCTGCACACTAGAAACACTCCGAAGATCATTTCAGTTCTTGTTCTTATAAGCTTTTTCCCACCATGTGTCCCTGTCTTCTGTCTGTTTGTCAGTGTTCATGTTTCTTGGTGGTTTTGGTGCTGCTGTCATTAATTGGAACCAGTTCAATGACATTTTGTTTGTAAAAGGTAGATGTCTAATAAAATATTTTTATATTTTTACCTGTTGAATGAATCTTAATGAATCTTTAAACCAATGAGTTTACATCTACAGAATACTGTGCACCAGTCAGTGTATACCATACAACAATTTCATTTTAGCATTCAGTAGTTGAGGCAGAATGTATTTGCTGTTTTTTTAATATAGGAAACTTTATATACTGCTATTATGACACAATTGTCTTTAGATTCATATCATGCAGTGTAGATAGAGGGCAGTGTTTCCCATAGTTAAGACAGTCGTTGGGAGTCATTCAAACTGATGGAAAGATGCAATGTGTTCAGTGACATGGTATTTAATTTGAATAATTATTTCTGGGGTTGTTCTGTGTGAAAGGAGAAAATTGCCCAGGGTAAAACAAGTGTTTAAATCCAATATACTTCCAATCAATCGCCTCTGAAAAGTTTATTCCTGGAACACCCATGATTCCAGATTTATCACATAAAGGATTTAAGGCAGAGAAACCAATTATTTTGGTTAATGTGCTTTTTCCAAAAATGAATGCAAAATAAGTTATTTGACACTAAGTCATTTGCAGCAATTCTGTTCCTTTGTTGTCATCTTGCAGTCATCCATTTAGAGAAACAGTAGATTAACATAATGTTTACCATGACTTCCTCTTTCTCCATTTCACCCTCCTCACGTCCTGCCTGAATTTAAAATGTCTCCAAGACATTGCTATTGATTTTGCACTGTCAGCTTCCATTAAATTTGCAGCTTAGTGAGGAGACCCAGGCTGAGGTGAGGGCGTAAGAATACTAAAGAGGGAGATTATGTAAGCTCAACCAAATGTGCCTGCAAGGGCAGTGATGATTTCATATTTAACCATTTTCATTGAATCACTGGTCATCGTGAACTTTCCTGTCTGGAGCAGGTAAAACATGCCTGGATCTGCTCATTATTCCACATCAATGCCTGAATTGAATGGATTCTTTCTTGGCCCATGTCCCAAACTTCCACCATGTTTCATGGGAATCTTTGCTGTAGTTTTAACATAATCCTGCTGACAAAAAACAAACGGTGAAAATGTAACCTCCTTGGTCGAGGTAATCAGCAGAAGTCTCATTCAAGGGGAACATCACATCTTTAATTGTGTGCTTTAGCATTGCAACAAAGAGAGAGTGGCAAGGAGTGAGAGAGAGGTGACTTGACCTAACAGCTAAACTGTAATAATGTTACATTATAGTACATGTCGTTTAGCTGACGCTTTTATTCAAAGCGACTTACAATTAGTCCATTAAATATCTATAAGGGGCCATTTTTGGGGGGTTTAGCATCTTGCCCATGACGAGCCGATGTTCCCACTTTTCCATTCTACTGTGTTTTGACAGATTTCTGACTTGATCGGTAAGCATGTTAATACTGTCAGTTTGTGTTTCTGTGCATGTGTGTGTGAGAGAGAGAGAGTTAGATGGTTACGTTTTCAATTAGTGTGTGCTCATGTGCGTGCATGTGTGTCTAAAAGTGTTACCTCTAGATAAACCTCTGATCCACCTATACCTCTCTGCCACTATAGCTGCTCTGACACATCGGTGTGATTACTGCAGGAGGTCTCTACTGCCTTTTACACAATGGTTTACATTTTGTGTCGCCAGGTTGGGTATGGGAGAAAATCTAATGCCTTATGGAGATTGATCGTTTCTTTTAACCACAACAATGATCATGTGACCATTGTTTGACCATGACAACAGACTGATTTCAACCTGATCCATAATATTTCCATGATTGGATTATTACGACTACTAGTGTCAGTGTGGGATACCTTATAACGTAAGTCTTGTAGGACTGTTTATATCATGTACCAGATGTCTGGCTCAGACAGGATCATGGTTTTCAGAAAGTGTTGCATGTTATAAGGTGGAAAAACATGGATGGATGGATTTGCTGAAAGAAATTGGGAGGACGTCCGGGTAATGTGCTGGATATCGCACAACTTGAAATAAACGATGGTCAGTCAATGTGGGAATGATTGATGTGCACTGTGCTGCTGCAGAGGCACCGGGGGGGGGGGGGCAAAAGCAAAACAGAGGAGAGCCACTGCTGGAGGTGCATTCAGGTACCCTAGGTTCCAAATGATCTGGTCCTATTATATTTTCTTTTCTGGAGTTTTGTTTTTGTAAGGCAGTTGGAGCTCTGCTCAGTGGTAGAGGTTAATTAGAAAACCTTTTGTGTTCCCTACATTTATATATATATTGTATTTAAAAAAAGACTAATAAAGCGAAATAAGAATCACTGGCATCTTCCCACTCGAATTATTTGCTTTGGTTTATCACAAAAATAATAATGCAACTTTAAATATTGTGCTGCGTGTGGTATTTTTATGTGTGGGATTCTAAAGAAATCACAGTGTTTCTGACTAATTAACCCAATCAATCTGCGGTGGTAGCTTCTCCCACGGTCCTTGAAGGCAGCATGGATCCTGCGGAGTTTCGGGGAAGCGCCTGTGAAGCGCGCTCACGCTCGCACGCACGTCCACACGCAGGCTACAGCAGCGCACCGGGAGCATCCCTGAGCGAGGGAGCGCTCGTTTCTGTGGAGGGTTGACAATCTCACACAATCACTGCTACCGCCTCCGTCACGTCGGGACACACACGGACTCTGTCGCCGCAGAATGATCCCGGGCCCCGGCGAGCCTTGTGGACAGTGAGGGCCCCCGCGCAGACATCCACCTCGCAGCCGGCAGAAGGAGCCTCGCTGCCCGCGTCTCCTCCAGCAGCAGCCCCGGAGACAGGATGTCAAGTAGCCCGGAAGAATGTCAGTCCAGGGGCGGCGGCTCCGACCGTGACTTGAAGATGGCCTCTTCAGGCAACACGTCCCCGGAGGGAGGACCTCAACCGCCGCTGCAGCAGAACCGTATACGGCAGGTGGGTGTCCCGTGTGTCCGCAGCCTCCTTCTCCGCATTGCCCGGTTCCGTCAGCGCGCACCCCGCTGCTGATGCCGTGCTCTCCGGGTGGAGCAGGTAGAGGCGTTGGCGCACCGGTGATCTGTCTTTGATTTGAACTCAACTGGGTTTGAATGAGATGCTGATGCAGGGATGTTTAGATCAGTGACAGTGAGAGAAAAGCCACAACAGGCCAGCGGTGCCAGTTGTTATGGCCGTCAACATAAACACCAGCAGGCCTGCACTGACTCCACTACTTTCTGTTACAGGCCCCACGGAGTGTTTACAACTTCTGTGTAGGTGCACTGCTCACATGGAGCATATCAGGGTGAGCACCCATGGGTGGTGACCAATTTAACCTTCTACCCAGTGACATAGTGCAAGTGTAGGGTTCTCATGAAGATGAATAGGTCTCTGTCATACACTGGTAGATTCATACAGTGTGTATGAATCTGTATGTGTGTGTGTGTGTGTGTGTGTGTGTGTGTGTGTGTGTGTGTGTGTGTTTACTAAGTGCTCCCTCAGTCCACTCTTGAGCTGGGCTGTTATGCCAGTAAGTCCTTCTGTCCTTGTGTGAACTGAAATTCTCATATGCAGGCCTCATCTTCCTCTTCCTGTTCTCTTCCTCTCAAATATTCTTAGATCATGGTGCGTTTTTTTATGAATTCATCTAAATCCACTGTCAAAACTGCATCAGCCTAATTGGACAAAAGTAAACAGTGTATTCATCTGTACGTCAGTTTACATGAAAGTACGTTTTAAGCAGGAAGATTAATGTTAAGTGTTACAATCTAGATTTGATTGTGCAGTCCGTTGTGTGTGTTTGAGTAAAAGTGAGTCAGGAGATGGTAGATGGTTGCTTCCTGTGTCAGTGCACTCGCTCAGGCTAATGTGATTTCAGTAATGGACTTGAGTGCCGCACACACACACACACACACACACACATAGACACACTCATAGACACACAGACACACACTCATAGACGCATAGACACACACCTTTCGTCTTTTCTTCCAGGGTGGGGCCACTGAGCTCACACACTTTGATGCAATCAGAAGTTTGTGTATTATCATCTTTGAAAAATCAAGCAAACATGATTAAGTGGACACATGATGCATTTGTATGCATGGTACAGGAATAGTTGCTTGTTTTTGTCGCTGAACAGAAAGAAGAAGAAGTCTGTCTCCCTTCATGATAACTAATCCAGCAGGGTTAGTGCTCAGTGGTCCGTTTTCCAGATACTCTGAAATGCTAGAGGTACATTTTTAAAACTCAAATAAACACATTTCACAAAAGTACCACAAAGGATAAACAATAGCATGGGGTCCTTTTGATTGTCCACCAAGGCACAGAGTCGTTTTTGGTCGTTGAAGGAGCTCGCTTGTTAAGGTTCAACACTAACTCCCATTTGGCAAATGGGAATATCACTTACCACTGCAGAGATCCATGTTTAGTCCCGAGCAGCACAGCCCCCATTGGCCCCAGTGATCAATAACCAGTGGCGGCACTGATGAATGATCAAGTCATCTCTGTTACTCTACTGGTGACGCCTACTGGTTTGTCTGTCCCGCTCAAGCATCAGCCAGAACTAAACTGCAGGAATCATACTGGAAAGAAATATTAGAGGGGGCACTATTTTGACTGTGTCTTTGTCTAAAGGCCCAACACACCCACCATGTTGCTACTGAATCTGCTGGGAAATGTGTGAGATCAACAAACTCAATGGACCATGTACCCATAAGACATTGTTGTGACTTGCCTTGACATGATGTGAAGTTTAACCTGTGAGCAATCATTTGGCTGTTTACAAATCCAGCTGATGCCGCTCCACTGTTTGCATTCACTCTAAGTCGTATTCCTGGCCACCTTTCAAATACTCTGTTTTGGTCCCCTCCATCTCTTGAGTGAAATATCTGGTTCTAAAGCTCACCGGATGTTTGACTTCCTTCACCACATACTTTGTCCGTCTGCAGTTTGGTGATGGGAGGGTAGGACACAGCAGGAGATGATGTTGATGCATTTGGACTGAGGCAAATGTTGCATGCAGTAAAACTCCATCAATGAGCTAAGAGGCTGGAAGACTTTAAAGAGCTGCAGACTCGGATGATAAGTCACGCGTGATGCAGGCTCATCACATTTCACAACACATGCAGTCGTATCATTAAGTTACATAATTGTTCTATAGAATGGCAGCTGTCGTACTCCAGAAGGTTGGTATGAAATAATCTGCTGTCTGCTGAGTTTGTAATTGGATCCATGTACTTTGGTTTTATTTTAAAAAAAATCTTAGTAAGTGAGTTTCCAGAGACACTGATTTGGTTTCTCAGCATCCATAGACCTTGCTGTGGAGGGTTGTTACTTTCTTTGGAAGACAATACCTTGTAGGGCTACGTCACTTTTTCCTCAAATCAAATTAAAACGAGTTGGACATGATTCGCAATTTGTTCAGATGTACTTGAATGTCTCCAAAATACCCAGGTTAACAGAATATTATTATTATATACATTGTTTTGCCTGGGCATTTGACTCCCACCATTTCATAATATCTGCAAATATAATTGACTCTTTTAGCTGGTGGAAATGTTTTGATAGAAGAAAAATTGCAAGAGATGCAAAACATGAAATGATCTTGTTAGTAGAGATTCAAAGTCCTGTATCTGAAGAAACTCAATGTTGTAGTATAGAGCTCAGTACAGCAAGGACATGTGAACCAAAAAGAGAAAATGACAGAGGGACACTGTGATGCTGGGCTCATACTTTCTGGTCTAAAAATAATTCGTGTCTCGTGTGATTGTCCCAGAGAAAAATAGCTTCTTCATCTTAGCCAAGTGTCTGTGTGTCCATGTCTCTTTGCTCACTGAACCTACGTCCTGGGCTTTTAGATGCTGGTGTTAAGCGATTGCATTCGTCCCCTATCTGAACAAAACAGAGACTGTCTCATTAGGTGTTAACCCCTCAGCCTGTGCCAGTCGCCTGTCCTGTGGTTGAATAGTGGATATCACAGCTCAGTTTGCAGGGATCAGCTCAGGACTGTAGTGGATTTTATGTCCACTGCAGTCTGATATCGATCAGGGAAATCTTTGCACCTCCAGGCTCCAGTGGAGACAGGCTGTAGTCTTGCATCTGATGATGACTTGTGTTCAGGGCAATTAAGAGAACTTGACTTATCTTTTCCCCATTACTTGAACTTCATGTTATAACCCCATCCCTCCCCGAACGCTTTTTGTTTGTTATCCATCTTTCCTTCTCTGGAGTCTCACTTCCTCACTGCCTTAAAGAGGATGTTTGATTCTTTACCCTAGTTTTCTTCTTGGTTTTCATTTCTATTCGTCTCTCCTTTCCCTGTAAACAACCCCCCCCCTCCCTGCTGTCTACCCGGTGCTCCTCCTCTCCACCGCTGGTCCCAACACTGAGGTCCTGATGTGCCAGGAGGTCAGATTTCACTGCAGCCTTTGACATTTTCATCCCTCTCTTTTTTCCGCCCTCTCTCGGTCTGCGTCTCCTCTGCCCCCCTGCGTCTGCCTGTCTCTGTCTGTTCACTGGGAGTGGTATGATGGGACTCTGCAGGAAGTGAGTTTTAATGGAGCCACAGCCTTCATTGCATTACCTCTGGACAGCTGCAGCCACACATACACCCACACATGATTACATCTGCCTGCCACCGCATGATGCCAAATAAGACTTGTTGGTGTCTCTGTGGGAGCAGTTTTAAGGGGTGTATATGTACGTACAGTACATGTACACAGACCCAAACACACATACTCATACAGCATTCAATAGCTGCATTTACTAGAGCTGTTAGAGCACTTGCCTGGTTGTAAGTGAGAGACCTGTGAATGACCGCAAGTCGTCCACTCCGGTACCTCTACTGATGGATACCAAATACCATTAAGCAATTATCATTGGCTCTTGTGAAATACCTGCTTGGTAATGCATTGTTGTGTGTTTCTATGAACCATCACATAATCAGAAACACTTTACCATCAGTTAATATCGTGGGTCCTTAAACCTAACTTTGAAAACGCTGTGGACATTTGGTTTTAGTATACAGTCGTTTATTTGGACATTTATTGCAGCCATGCAGCGCACACTGGTGTGAATTTAGGCAACATGAAGTATAAAGTTGTTCAACAAAGGGTTGAGAGCTTGATATATTAGTTAAATATCATAGAAGGCCTGTTACAAGTTCCCAGAGTCAGAGTTAAGATTGTAGATTAGTCTGTTCATGAATAAGTTAATGAACAGAAAACAAATCAGCATCAGTTTTAATGTTTCCTGGTTCGATCCTCGGATATTAGAGCTCTAGCAGCTTTTCCCCATAATTAAATATCATGAGAGGAGCTGACATCACGGAAAGTGCGGCATAACCTCAGTGTCATCTTCTCTATGATCGAACCATATGTTCTGTAGCATTCAATCTGAAGACCGGACAGAAATAATATTCCACTAAATTCATCTTCAGGTGTGGCCATATTAGGTATGATACTCCACCACCTCTGATGCAACATGCAAGCAACAGTCATCTGATATCTATAGGTTTCATATAAGTTTCCATACAGTGTAGTGGTGATAGGGTGGTGAGAAATGCATTGGTATTCCTGTCCCAGATCCAAACGGAGCTTCAGCACTCATCTATATTTGGTTGCAAGCAACATCCCGATACTCTGTATCCTGTGTTGGGCAGCTTGGTTGTTGTGGTACCTCATGACTAGTTGGGGTGTCGTAGTTATATGTGACACTATCTTACACTGGCCAGTCTTCCCCTGGTGGATGTTTACAGGGCGCAGAGGGCATCACTTGATAAGTCACAGCTCATCTTCGTCATCATTATCGTCTTCATGTTAATATCATGCTTTCCTTATTTTGATGACAGATAAAGTCAGAAGGTGACATTTATAAAGCATAGACATGAATAGACTGATGTTGATGCCCTAGCTGCTTTAACTGGCCACAGCTGCAGGATGTAATAATAATAGTGTAAA